GCTGTCCTCTGAGGCTCCTGATGAGATGGTGGCAACAGGCAATGGGGTCTGCCTCTTCCACAGACTAGTTCCAGAGGCAGGTGGGACCAAGAGGACATCTGTAATTCCCGGAAGACGCACAACAAGCATTCTTTCCACAGTACCTCCATGCCTCACAACTTTATCAGGTAATCGTGTTACTTACACTCAAGTTTCCATAGGAAACTGGGTAAACTTGTGTTAAATTTTGACACAATATTTTCTGTTGCCATCAATTCTTTCACTGCCTACCTTTCCATTTATGAAGGTACATCTCTCCATCTACCAGGTCACAGCCTAAAACTAACTTTGTTCTTTTAGCCACTCACTAGGAAGAAAAAACCATCCTAAATGTCTGTCTTGCTTTAGGCAGAGGAGAGCGGTGGCTCTGCATCTGCTGAAATATGTTTACAGTTTGTCTCCATGTGGAGGCTTATTTATAAAAATCAAACTAGGATTCACGGGTCACTATAAACTTAGTTTAGACCCAATGGTTTGGAAATAACAGTTGCTTCCATTTAGGTTATTTCCTTCCTGCCAGATGTAGTTCTGAGGGCTTATGTGCAAATTCATTGAATCTACTTAATCCATTTTACAAATGAGGGCATTGAGGCAAAGTTTAAACAAGTAATCTGTCCAAACCAGAGCTAGGAGTCAGACCCAGCAAGTCTGGCTCCAGGGCCGTTCTTCACTATGCCAATTTTCCAAACTGCAAACTGAAACCCATTAGTGGGGAGTAAAATCAGTCTCAACCGTTTAAATGTAGAATAGAATAAGAAAGAAAATGTAAGTTTTCATAAAACTTTTCTACACACACACACACTCTAGATCACGACATAAAATGACTTCTTAAGAGTAGGTAGGTCTTGATCACAAAGCTTTACACTATCTACCTCACTCAGACCTACAGCCAAACAGCCAGGATTTGAACCTTAGTTCTCTGTTGGAACTTGGGGAAGTTACCTAACCACTCTACAGTTCAACTTAAAAGTTAAAGCTGGAAGTGCAAGTCGCTCAGTCATGTCTGACTCTTTGCGACCCCGTGGACTATAAGGGAAGTCCATGGACTTCTCCAGGCCAGAATACTGGAGTGGGTAGCCTTTCCCTTCTCCAGGGACTCTTCCCAACCCAGAGATCAAACCAGGTCTCCCGCATTGCAGACAGATTCTTTACCAGCTGAGCCACAAGGGAAGTTCAACTTACTCATCTCTAAAATGGAAAGAATCTGAGAGTAAGAGGTTTGTTCCTTTGAGAGTAGGCTGGCTGGGACAATTTTTGCATCAGCACAAACTGATTTCACAGCCAGGTATAGAAAAGAGGATTCAGCATATGGAGGCCACATTGGCAGATTTTAAAAGAGGGCTAGTTTAAGTAATCTTTTAATTCAAGTCAAGCAATTCTGATTGATTTCTCAGAGGAAAAGCTAATGGGGTTATCCTACTTGAGTTCACTGTTAAAGACTGTATTCTTTCCCAAACAACTCTATTGATGGGGGGAGGAGCAGCAATGAAAAACAACAAAAACTGAGAACTAAAAAGTACATAGGAATCTGATGATCTTTTAAAGACCATAAATATTTATCAGGTGAGACAGCACACTCCTACACAGGTAAGGAAACACAAAACCAGAAGTGTCCAACACCTGTGCACCAGGCCCAGGACTGCTGGAGCCGACAGTGGGGAGGGTGAAAAACTGTTTCACTTGCTTCTGCTGCCATTGTGCCCACTCTGACCACTGGGGAGAACCAGAGGGTGAGTGAAAGCCTAGGAACTAGGAACTCAAATTGGACCATCCCCTGCTTAAAGCTTGTGAGCAGCTCTCTTACTGCCTGACCTCATCCAGTCCCACCCTCTCCTCCCCTCCTGGAAGCCCAGTGGACTTTCTGTCCGTTAAACATGGTGACCCTGGTCCCACCCTAGACCTTGGTCCTTGCTATTCCTTGTCCGCGGGGCACTCTTCCTTCAGACCCCACACAACTGGTTCCTGCTACAGGTCAGGTTTCAGCTCAGCCTTCCGTCTACCGAAAAGGATCAGCACAGACCCACCTAGCAGCCAGTGTAACTGCCTTCCCGGCAACCCTCTGCTTGGCTTTCTGTCCTTGCCAAAGTCTGAGTTCTCATCTGTCTTGTTTAGCATGGCAGTCCCATCACCTAGATAGTCAAAAACATAAAAATGTGAACAGCTATGCTTCTGGGCAAGTCCTTAAGCTACTCTAGTGCACATGTTTATCTGTGGATAGAAAAAATTCTGTCCTACCTCCTCTCAGAACTATGATACTACACAAAGTTGAAAAGTACTTTGAAACAAACTCTTGAAAAACTGCATTATCCTATTTCATCCTTATCTCATTCTTCTGGCCCTAAGAATTCCTAGATAGAAACATGTCTTAAGAGTTCCACAAATGGTGACTCAACACAATGTCCAGCCCACAAGAGATACATAAACACGAGAGGGACTGCACCGACCTCTAACCTCTGTATACTTTGGGCAAGAAAACACTAGCAGCAGAGAAATGGCAAGATCTTCACATAAACTGTCAATGTACATGTGACTAAGACAGCTAAGCAGGTAGGCACTATGGTTCTGCTGTTGAGCATGGGGTCGGACCTAATGTCATTCACTCAGCAGTGTGTGACCCTAAGCAAGGTCACTTCATTTCCTTGAACCCTGATGTCCTCACTGATCCATGGGGTACCCAAGGAGATCCACCGAAAGGGCTATAAGCAATTGGCATAGCAGTTCAGTGCACAGGAAATCATCCATGAAGGGTGGCTGTCATCATCAGAAATATCCCTAACTCAGTTCCTCATTCTTGACCAACACACTTTAATTTACAACTTTAATATACAATATGATGTCTTTAATTTCTTGAATTCTCACCTGGCTCCTGCAGGGAAACAAAAGTTGGAAAGCTTCAACTCCATCGCTCTTGTTCATTCAACTATTCAAGCATTCACTGAGTATCAATCATGTGAATGGCCTTGCAGAGGTGTCAAATCACCTTGCTTTCTCAACAGGCTTATGGTCTAATCATTAAAATGTTAATGACTGTGTTCAGGAATATTGGAAAATATATGAGAGATAGGAGAGGCTAGTGCTGCAGACCTATTAACATTGGAGAAACAAAGGCCTGGTGAGGACGGGGACCTCTGCCTGGTTCATAGCAAAGCCAGAGACACAAAACAAGTTATAAAACAGCTTAACTGTTTGCTCCCAACCCCCACCCCCACATACTCAAAACTGCTGTAATATTTATGTCAATAAACGACTTCTAATTAACAGCAATACTAGTAGTCTGATTTAACAGGAACACATAACTGTCACTTAATGCTTCCTATTCTTTAAAACAATTTCCAAGGTATTTTGAGTGATGGCAATTATTAATGTGCAATGGTTTTTGTTTTTTACATTTTTATGGAGGTGCAATTAAAATTAAAATGTGCAGATACTAAGGGTTTAATTCAATGAATTTTGACAACTGTATACACCCACATAACCCCCACCCTACCTCTACAGTTTCACCAGTATATAGACTTCATATTAATGGAATTATGTACTTTTAAGTGACAGTCACTCCTTTTGCTTAATATGATGACTCTCAGATTAATCTAAATGATTGTCTTATAGCTTGTTGCTTTTAATTGGTGAATTATTATTCAGTTGAATGAATATACTGTAATATGTTTATCTATTCTCTCATTGATGTACAATTAGGCCTAGTTTGGAGATATTATGAAAAATTTTGTACATGTCTTTTATGGACATATAGTTTTCATTTCTCTTGAGTAAATCCTAGGAATACAGTTGCTGAATCCTAGGATACACGTTTAAGTTCATTAGAAACTGCCAAACAATTCTACGAAATCGTTGTACTGTTTTACATTCTTACTAGCAAATATTGCTAGTTGCTCCAAACTGTCACTAACATTTAAAGTTGTCAGTCCTATTTTAGCCATCCTAGTGAGTACAAAAGATATCTTACTGTAGTTTTAATTTGCATTTCCCTGGTGATTAATGACATTAAGAGCCTTTTTTCTTGTGATTATTGGCCATTCATGTATCTTCCTTTGTGAAGTATCTGCTCAAGGCCTTTCCCCATTTTTCAACTGGATTGTTAATCTAATCTATGATTATAGGGGTTCTTTACATATACCAGATACAAGCCCTTTGCTGGATATAGATGCTATATTTTTTTCCAAATTAGTGGTTTATATATTTCAGTCCTTAATGGTATCTTTTGATAAAAGAAATTTTTGATGAGGCTAAATAAAATTTATTGTTTTTTTAATCAGTGCTTTTGTTTTTTCTCCAAAAGTTTTTTGTCTGCCTTAAAATTACTAAGATAGTGCTTTCTTTTAAAAGCTTTAAGAGTCTGGGCTTTATTTTAGGTCTATTGTCCATGCAATGATTTAAAAACATTTTAAATGACAATGTCTTAATCCCTGAAGGATTTGTGAGGAAAAGAATTCCTCCCAGTGTCTTCCTTTTGAAAGAAAAACCTCCTGATCTGGAAAATGAAATGGCCATAACCTTTTACTATTGAAAGGGTTGATTTCCACACAATTCCAATATGCAACATTCCCATATGCTCAAATTTTTCATTAGAACTATTTGTGCAACTACAAACAAGCTATCTCTCTTGTCCAGCACAGCTGGTGCTTAAAGTCTTTGATCAATAGACAGACAAATGGGACTCTAAACTGTAACGAAGCTTAAGAAAAAATAATTTTTTGAAACATAAAAGGAAAAGGAAGATAAGACTAAAAGTGTGTAGGGGGAAGAGGAGGCAGAATGACAGCAAATGTGAAAATAGGAAAAGCAGAAATTAGACGTGATGTGTTAATTATTCTTTATGCTATTATAAAATGCACTGTTTCTTCGGAACCATCATAGGTGCAAAGTCAAAACATGTTTACAGACAAATGTTAAACATAACAGGAAACATGGGGTGCACCCATTTGGCAAGAGCTGAGCCTCTGTTTTCAGTCTTCATCATCCGGAGGGATACCCAATTCCTCATCCGTCCACTGGGAAGGGTCAGGATAAGGAAAGTGACCCTAAGGACAACCAATTAAAAAAAAAGTTCACAAAACTATTAATAATCTATACTCCATACAGTTGATTAAATTTTAAAAGAAATCTTGGGGAGGAAAGTGATTTACATAATAAACAATCCTTGATATACCCCAGGAGCAAATTCTATTACACTTCAACCATCTGATGGTCCAACTATTCTTCAATATGTTCAGAATGCGCCGCGGCCTGAATTTGAGAAGCTTGGCCATTTTGGAGCTTCCGCCTGAGCCGGCATTTGAGTATGAGTTTTGGATGGAAGGGAGGGGAAACAGAGACAACAGGTTTCAAAGACACCCCACGTCACAACAGTCCCTGAATTATTGTAAATCCTTTGACAACAGTGTTGTCTTGACTCCCTGACAAAACTGTCTCAAACTGTCCTGTCGTTCCTGCTGGGACACCTGGGAGCCTCGGGTGGACTCATTCCGCTTTGATCCTGATCTAGGGCGTGTCATCGTCTCCTGCCAGACAGCCACACACAGACCTAACAGCTGACCCACAGTGAGACAAAGGTGTCTCTGTGCTGCCAGTTCACAGACAGCAGGCGGCTTCTTTCTGGGGGACAAGGGCACAGAAATTCTAAGAAAAGTGGGACGCCAATCAACCTGATGCTTCTAGAACTCACTGTGTAAATTTGATTTTTCCCTATCCTTAGAAAAAAGTAACTAAATTTACTGAAATTTGAAGTATTCTGGATCAATAAGCACGGATTTCAATGGCCTAAAAGTGTAATTTCCTAGAGAATGGCATCTGTGCAAATATGATTAAAAGCTCATATGAGGCCAGTTACATGTTAGAAAGTCACCAGTAATTAATTTCCCTGCTTCAGGTGAATTAGCTCATATCCATTCCACCTCAACCTGCTGCCTTGGGCCTCTACACAGACTAGATGACATGTATCATTTAAAGGCATTTAAGGGTGAAACTTAACCTGCCGATGACCCCCTACCCAGCTTGGAAGGTAAGAGAATTAGCTTCTGTAGTCTCCCTTCCAGATATGGCCACCAATTGGCAACTGTAAGACATGCAGTACTACGTGTATATCCCTGGGTGGAAAAGGTCAGAGATGATAATGTTTCCTAAAATAAAAAGATCCCTGCATATACATAAGGACAACATACCTCCAGATAGAAGAACAGGCTACAAACAGAAAAACAATCTAAGCTGTTAACAGATCTTCCCTCCCCACACCCAAAGGAGGACAGGGACTACTCTCCTGCACTTACCAGCACAGCATCTGAGTCGTGCCAGAAGCGCCAGAGAATCCAGAACCACATGGTTGCACTGAAGAACTCGGCCTGGATCACCTGGGATCTGGTCAGCTGCGGGAACTGTCTGTACCGAGGCTCGATGTGCGCACCTCCGCCAGCCCTACATGACAAAACGGACGCGTGAAGCAGCTTGCTTTGTCTTCGAGCTCATCTAAAACTCTATGAGTTACAGCCAGAAACTAAACCTTTCTTTCTCTCCTCCAACACACAAAAAAAAACAGAATGATAATGGTCCCTCAAAATACTCCACTTGCATAAGCTTGCTGTAAACGTGTGCAGCGGCAAAAACTGGCCTGAATGAGAGGCTAATTATGATGTTCATTGAGTGAATATCCATACATTTTACACCAGATACGAATGTGCTGATTATCGGGGTACTGGCCCCACATGGTTGTTAAAGGATCATGAATCTGCAATAGGTCATTATCTTATCCAGTGAAACAAATCAGCAAATTTTGTTCTGGAGAGCCATCTGTTTCCAAGACAAATTATGTCTTCTGCTGTATTAGTAATACAATCGTTATTAAAAGACCACTTTATGGAAAAGAGAACTTAGATCCTTTTTAATAAGGCAACAGCACTGAACAAAGAGACTTAAACAGTAAGTTTGAACAGGTTTTTCTGGTTTTTGTTTTTTCATTTAGATACTGTTGACAAGGTGTGGGATACCATCCATAGGACTCTACTCATTTTATTTTGTTGGATTATTATTATAGCTTGAATCTAACATAAATAATGTAAGTTGTACTTAATGGGGCTACTTTCAAGTCCTTTTCAGCAGCTATACATATACTATTACATAGAAATGGATATTGAATTTCAAAGAACGTTTCTATATAAAACGTGTTCACAAATTTCATTCCAGGTAAGAATCAGCTTATAAAACAATGTTCCCTTTTGTTTGACACAGAAACGAGTATCTGTACAAAAACTTCAGTAAAATTACTTCAAAATGCACTACAGTTGTGTGAACATTAATACTTCCATGGTTCTTGATACTTATTACCTAGTACCCTTTTTATTCTTTTCTACTCTAAAAGATTACTAATATTATTTACAGTGTCTTATCACCTGTTAGACACCACCCCAAGCTCTTTATATATTATCATTTAATTTTCAAAACAACCTGATGAGATAGATCTATGGTTATCAGTGTTTACAAATGAGGACACTGAAGTATTACTGTTTGATGGCAAAGCGCAAGCTCTTAAATACTGCCCACAAGACTTCCCTGGTGGCTCAGATAGTGGAGAATCTGCCTGCAATGCGGGAGACCTGGGTTCGATCCCTGGGTTGGGAAGATCCACTGGAGAAGGGAATGGCTGTGTATGCATATATGTACATATGCATATATCTAAAAAAGAAAAAAAAATACTGCCCACAAACAACATTAATTCCATATTTATGTAAATATCAACATTTTTATTTGAAAGGTTCTATATAAAATATTAATAGTTATTAGCTATGGACTGTATAAGAAATGGGTTTTATTCTTTCTGCATGCGTGTATTCATGTAAGTATGTATCCTTTTTTACAGTGACCATATATTACTTTTTTTTTCAAACATTTATTAAAGCCAGCTTCTAAACTTTAGTCAGTTTTTAGGTACTCTTTTACTAACATATAGTACTAATTTTTTGCTGAGAATATGATATTACATTTGTATGGAACTTTACAAAGTGCTTCCATGTGCATTTATTGTTCAAGCCACCAACAACCCTCTGCACAACATGTTACTTTTAAAAGCTTCTGTCAAGCATCACTACTTTACCCTGAATTTATCAGACTGTTTCTGTATGCCAATTTTATTTGACAGTACCTATGCAGGAGCTATCTGTGCACACAGATACTACATTATGTAAACAAACCATGGGGGTGGGAATTCAAAATGTTAACAACAGGCTTCCTCTTTGATAGGTTTTAGATACAATCTAGTAGTAAGTGCCCATCAGTTAAACTCATTTAAAATAAGTTTTGAAAATTATAGTTTAAACCCCTTCCCAGGAACTCTCCGTATTTCATTATTGTGAGTTACATCTTGTTTTAACTATGAAATAAGTGGGTCATTGACTGCAAGGTATAAATCTTTTTGAACGAAGATTTGAAACACTGCAATTAGAGAAAGGATGGATGACATAATGATTGCCATGAATAAAAAATATAAAGAGTCCACAAACATCTAATTTTATGCTCCGAGAGGTTGTTAACTGCACTAAGGCAAACTAGATAGGCCTGAACATCCCTCCAAATAGAAACTACGACAGCAGATTAATTTTTTTTTTAACTTCTAATATCATTAAATCTTGGTATGGAAGTACCAAGAGCGCAGCAGAAAGGAACACCCCCTCGTCTTCCCAGGCAGGCTCAAAGGCTGCTGTTGGTGGCTCTCGATCTCTGTCCTTCTCAGGTCACACATGCCTTTTCCTTCTCTCCATCCTACGTCTGTCCCAGTTCCATATTCATAACAGACACGTGGCTTTAAGCAAGTCACTCTTTTCATTTAGCTGGGTCTCAGTTCCCTAATAACAACAGCTATTTATACAATATTTGTCTGGTCTTTACAAGGCACCAGCAAATCTGGTAAAAACACTTCAGAGATTTGTTATTCATTTACTTCCCTGGAAGTCAACATTATTATCCCAATTAAACTGGTGAGAAAACTAAGTTCTTAAGAGATCATGAAACTTTTCCAAGATGATACAGCAAAAGCGTGGCAGAGGTGAGATCTGAATAGTCTGGGGGCAGAATCCTGCTTTTAAACCACCCTCTGCAGTGCCTCTTGGTAAAGTGTGGACCGTGGTCGGAAAGGCCTGGAACATCACCTGAAAAAATCCAGGGTACTGTTTTCATTCCTGCTCTTACTGGATACCTCTGCACTCCCAGCTTGCTTTTGGTAGACCTGCCCTCCCTTGGCATCAGCACTGGACTCTCCAGTGGGTTTCTCCCGCTACAACATGGGTGACTCAGCTTTTGCTCACTCTCTTAAATTCTGGTATTGCAAAGGTAAACTCTAAAGGATACTATGGGCTTTGGGTGACAATAATCTGTCAAGGTACCCTCAGGTGGGGGATGCTGATAATGGAGCAAGCTATGCATGTGTGGCTTGGGGGGTTTATGGCAAATCTCTGTACCTTCCTCTCAATTTTTTTTTTGGAAACAGAAAACTGTTCTACAAAATATTTTTAAAAAGAAAACTTCCGACATTGCCCAAGCATCCACTTTTGGCTCTCTTCCCACCTTTCCCCACTCCATTCTCCTGCCTTGGAGCACTAATTCTCCACTCTGCAACCATAGTAATTTTTTAGAATTAAAATGTGGCCACGTGGCATCTGATTAAAACGACCGATCAGCGCCTCTGTTGGAAATCAGGCAGGCCTGTGTGTCTTAGTCGGTCAGTCGTGTCCGACTCTTTGTGACGCCCATGAACCGTAGCCCGCCAGGCTCCTCTGTCCAGAGGATTCTCCGGGCAAGAATACTAGAGTGGGTTGCCATTCCCTTCTCCGGGGGAATCTTCTGATCCAGGGATCGAACTCGGGTCTCCCGCATTGCGGGCAGATCCTTTACTGTCTGAGCCACCAGGGAAACTAGCGCAAAGCCACGCACAAGGAGCCTCTACCATTCTTTCCCTACGACCCGAGGTCTCCGGCCTCACCTTGCCTCGAGCTTGAAGCTTCAAACTATCCTGTACAGGTGATTTCCTCTGCGTGACGCCCTCGCCTCCTCAGTTCCTGTCCTTGCTTCCAGATTAACTCCAACTGTCTCCAACTGTTCAACTGATCAGCTTCCGGGGGGCAGCCTCCCTCTGGGGCCGGGACCTTCAGATACACACCTCTATCGGCTCCCCCGGGCCCGGCGTCGCGCCGTCAGACTACAAGTCCCAGCATGCCTCAGGGGTGGAGGCCGCCGCAGACCAGATAAGCCCCTGAGGCTTGGCGTCAAGGTGAGGGCGTCCCGAAGGCTAATGCCTTCCCCTAGAAGCGGGCGAAGCCCCAACCCCAGGCAATACTCACCGACGGACGCCACCGGCTCCAGCCGCCCGCGCGCAGCGGCCTCTGAAGAGGTGGCCTCCAACGTGAGCGAAAGGCGACAGTCGCTTCAGAGCCGACATCCCAACCATCGTTAGATCGGCCGTTGCCCAGGCCGCACCGCCGCCACACGTCCTTCCGCTGGCACCCGGCCGGTGACGTCACAGCGCCGGCCCGCCCCTCTCCCTGTGACGTAGGGAGGGGCGGGGAAGCGGTAGTTACCGCCCGGAAGGAGCATGCCAGTCCCTTCCCAGAGGTGAGGGCGTCCGGGGCCGCCGCCTGAGCGCGTGGTTCGCTCTGAGCCACCAGACTGGGCGTCGCTTTGTGGGCCTGGTGGCGCCCTGACGAAAGGTCAGGGGTGTAGACGGCCCTGGCGGAGCCCGCGGATGGGCGCTCCGCTCCTCGGCACTCCGCTCCTGGAGCCCCTCGTTGTTAAGCGGACACAGAAACAACGCTAACACAGCTCGCTCTTTGCTACGGGTGCTGATCTAGGCGCTGTTACCCCACCCGGACCCGCCCCTCTGCCTGCTCCTCCCGAATTAAGTACCCTTCCAGACCCTCCTAGGGTGCCAAATCCATTCTGAACCAGTCTGTCCTTCCCAAAGCTAGTCCATTGTATTCCTCCCCTGCAAAGGCTCCACGATTTCTTTAAAGCTTTCATCGTTATACGGTTGTTCTGCAAACCTGAGCTTGAGAACCAACCCGCAGCCCGTGCTTTCTCAAATGTCAGCACCTAGACTGGAGGTATCAGAATCCCCTGAGGAGTCCTACCGCAGCTATTATGTCTGGAGTAGGGCCAAGGAATCTGAATTTTAGCAGGCCCCCAATATACGCGGTGCTCCCGATCCCTGGATCCTGAGCCAGCCCTGAATTCTTGGCGTTTGTCTCTTAATATTGCCTTCTATTAAGTCCTGGATGAACTCCAAACTTCCCAAACTTTGGGGAGCTGAAGAACCCCTTTCTCCAGCCTTGAGAACCCCAGCTCCCAAATTCTTAGTGTCCCCACTTACGTGTTATAGTTTTCCTAAGAATTCTCGATTTTTATAAACTTAACCTGTCAGCCTCACACCTTGGAGATTTCGACTTGAAATGGATCACCTGCCAAGCACTGAAGACTTCACACTGAGTGATAAGCATGAAAAATTGGAAATTTATGGAGACACACATAGAACTGAATTTAGGGATTTGAGTGTATTGAATATAACTGACACTCCTCCTGTGGCAAGATATGGGCCTCCATGTGCCCAGTAGCTAGGAACCTCTCTCCCTGGAGAAAGGCTTCCTCCGGGAGACAGTGAAGGACAGGGAAGCCTGGAGTGCTGCAGTCCAAGGGATCGCAGAGAGTCAGACACGACTTAGCAAACAAACAACATACCTTTCTGCAGAACTTACTGATTGACCCTCTGGCCCTGTAGAACTCATGCCCCTCCCCACATCCACCTGCTATCCCTCCCCACCCCTACCTTCTCCTGTCCTCCTAACTTCTAAGTATATAAACTGTAGGAAAGAATGTACTGTATTCTGGGTGCAAGTTGACTTTCCAGCTGATATGCAATAGTGTGGCTTTCTCTGGGCTACCATTCACTACTTACCTTTCCTAGTACATGTACAAACCACTAAGAGATGTTCATGAATGGGGAGAGCAGGGTCTTCCATCCTTCCGAAGAGAGCTCTCTGCCCATATTATAGAGCTGCCTGCCTTGCTACTAGGAAAGAACAATGCTGTGATTCCTAGGCCACAAAAAAAAAAAAAAAAAAACCAGCTTAAACAAAAGCACTCCATAGAACTTGATAGTCTGAAGATCTGGAGTTCAGCCTCAGCTCTACCAAATGATTAGCTCTGTCCATTTGGACAAGTCACTTCTCCAGGTCTCAGTGCCCTTCATCATCCATTCAAGAGAGTACCTGGCCCACAGCATGTACTCAGCAATTTTTTATTACTTTGTCAATATTTTCCTGGCTGCAAAAGCTTTTCAGGTAAACTGAAATTCACTTACCCACCCCCCACCCATCTTTCTTGCTCAATTACAAAATAAAAACTTTTAACTTTAATGCTGGCTTGTATTTAAAACAATATTGTTCTATAGACCATTTGTGGGGTCCTTAGCTCTAATATTTTGAATCACTAATTGTGATTTTTTACTATGAAAAGTTTAGGGTCCCAATCAGTACACTATTTTGACTGTGTAACAGCAATGCATGTTTGTGTTGCAGACATGTTCTAAAAATTCCAAGGGCAAATATCTCTGACTGCCTTTTGTAGGTTGCACAATGGCCTTCTTTTTGATTCTCAGAAAAGCAAACTGTTTGAATGAATGCATCTTAGAAGGTGAGGGAAAGGATAACAAGCCCTGACACTGTTCTTAGCTTTGACAGGCAAATCAGTTCCCTAGTCAAATTTTAACAAACTGTGAGGACAGACTCTAAATAGCCTAACTTATAGCATCTAACCCCAAATCAAAAATATATCCTGTAACTGGAAATTGAGAACACAGCAGGAGAATGAGGAAGGGGAAAAAAAACTTGTTCACACGACTTCATTTTATTTAATTTTCTACTTTTGGTTTTGTTTTGTTTTTTTTTTCCCCTGCACTGTATGTCTCTTGGAATCTTACTTTTGCAACCAGGGATTAAACATGGACCGTAGCAGTGAAAGCACTGAGTCTTAACCACTGACTGCCAGGGAATTCCCTAATTTTCTATTAAAGGTTGCTTGATCACCGTTTCCCTCTAAGTCTCCGAAAGAAGAAAGGAACTTATCTTTCCAGCAGTTTTAACACAGAAATGAACCTTGTTCTTTCTACTTTGGAGGGACTAAACTGGGATCTCCCTTCCAAGTGATGCCCCACTGCCCCTTTATCTACTTACACTCAAGAAGTAGCGTTTTCTCCTTATGAAGATGAATGTATAAATTAAGTTTAGCCTTTTTAAGATGCTTATTTTAAAAATCAGCAAATTACCTATATTAAAGCCAAGCACAGCCATTAATAGCCATTTTTCTCTTCAGTTCAGCCTGTATTCATTTTCTGTTGCTGCTTTAACAGCCCCTGGGCTACTGAGGCCCTCGGTTCAGCAGCCCACAAGGAACTACATGAATGAGCCTGAATTCAGAGCTACCTCAGAGGAGCCCCAAGATGCTTATAGCCGTGCAAGATTGAGCAGAGGATCCGCCAAGTTTCGCCCACATTTCTGACCTGCAGAGACTACCAAGTAACAAGAATAGTTGTATTAAACCGCTGTATTTGTGGGTAGCGTGTATGCAGTGAGAGATAACTAATGATTATCGCAGTAAGTAGATGGAATTTATTGGCTTTCAAGAAAGGCTCAGAGGTGCTGGTGTTCGCGCAGGGAGACACCGCTCTGTGTTGGTACCCCTGTCTCTTGTCCCACAGTGCAAATGCATATGCATTTGGCACAAAGGGCTGAATATCTGGCTGGTTTGCCCATGAGGAGGGAGCTGAACAGGGTTACCTGGAGCCCCCAACCCTTCACTGCCTGACTCAGATGCCCTACCCTCAAGACTTTGGAAGTGCCAACAACATCTCCACCCCTCTAAAAAAAAAAAACTGCACCAAGGGAATCTCTGTCCAATATCTAAAGATAACTTCTGTCCTCAGTTGTTCCCTAAAAGACAGGAACTTTATCCCTAAGAAAGAATGGGAGAATCTATCAGAGAGCAGGAAGGTTTGACTTTCCACTCACTGTCTAGAGCAGTCTCCAAAACAAGCAGGAGAATCCACTGAGATGCAGGAGAAAACATTACTTTTAAACAAAATTAGGAAATTAAGCTTTATTAATATCCACTCTACAAACTGACCCTGGGATGCTCTATCTCTATGCAGGCCAGCCACGTGTCAGACCAGCTTTGAGAGAATGGCCCATGGGCTGGCCCAGTGCAGAGGGCCAGGCAATGGCCACCCCATTTTCCTTTACTGCTGGAGTATCGCTGGGCACTACTGCGAATTTCAAGTCCTGGTTAACAGGATGTGAAAATGTTAGCCATTCAGTCATGTCCAGCTATCTGCAACACCATGGACAATAGCCTCCCAGGCTCCTCTGTCCATGGGGTTTCCCAGGCAAGAAGACTGGAGTAGGCTGTCATGCCCTTCTTCAGGGGATCTTCCTGATCCAGGGATCGAACCCGGGTCCCCAGTGCTGCAGGCAGATTCTTTAGCGTCTGAGCTACCAGGGAAGCCCTAACAGGAATGTACTGATTATATCATCTATCTGTTGATATTAACCAAAAGTAGCCCTGAACAATGCTCAGAAATCCAGTATCTAAGTGCTGATATGTGAGCACAGGGAAACGTTAAGATAAATAGCAGAGCTGACTCTGTTCCTATCTCTAGTATGTCACATTAACCACTGACCATTGTTTTTTTTTTTCTTTTACCTTATAATAAAATTTAGCAAGAGATTGGCAAAAAAGATTTTAAATTATCAAAAGGATAATTTGAGATACTAAATGTATCTAATCTAAATTGAGATGCTAAGTGTAAGCTCTGTCTTTAGAGATTTGCTGGTGATCGTAGAACCTGTATAAATCCTATAAATAAATTATATGTGCATGTATATATAAATACATGCAGCCCTTTACCAACAGGGCACATAATCAAAACATTTGGGGGGAAAAAACAAAACAAAAAAACAACACAAAATACTTGGGGGAATTCCCTGGCGGTTTAGTGGTTAGGACTCGGTGCTGAGGGCATGGGTTCAATCCTTGGTCAGGAAACTAAGATCTTGCAAGCTATGTGCCATGCTCCCCGCCCCCCCAGAATTTGGAAACCATGGATCTACAGGATTCTGTGACATTTTATAACCTAAATATCAGAGTCTGGAAAGGACCAGGAAGACCAGCCTGATGCAGGAGTACAGAGGTTAAGAAGAGGAGAGAGAAAAACCAGAAAACAAAATAACTAAGTTTATTCATCCTCCTCCAGAGAATGTTTTCCCTGAAACAGTCTCTCTGACACCAGGCCCTGCTTCCACGACTGAGCTGTCAGGACCCTTCTTCCTTTTACTTTCCCAGGTAACCCAGACCTTTGGAAACAGATGCTTGAAACCAAACCAGGGTGGAACACAGTGGCAGGCCCTCCACAATCCCAGTTCTAGAATGTCCAAGCTGCCACACGAGAGGCTGTTGGGAGCGGCCTCCAGTTCCGAGATGAAGCCCCCTCTACTGCCGTCAGCGGGAGGTCACTAGTTCTTTTAGGAGGAAGGGCTTTGCTGCCTCCAGGATGTCCAGTTTAGGGTCCAGTGAGCGGCCAAGCCCCTCCAACACCATGATGGCAAACACGATTGAGGCAAAGTTGCTCTCAAGCTTTACCTGAAACAGAAAAACAGGGGTTCTTTCTGAAGCCCATGGATAGACGGAGAGTATCCTGAGTAGTTATCAGGTCAACATCCACTCCTGGCATCATGTGTCTGCCTACATGATTTTTACTATCTACGTAACATTCTTACAGATAAAGGACAGAAATGCTATAGACCTAACAGAAGCAGAAAATATTAAGAAGTGGCAAGAATATATTTCATGACCCAGAAATGTATTTTTTCTAAGAATACAATGTATGACCCAGATCTTCATGACCCAGAAAACCACGATGGTGTGATCACTCACCTAGAGTCAGATATCTTGAAATGCAAAGTCAAGTGGGCCTTAGAAAGCATCACTATGAACAAAGCTAGTGGAGGTGATGGAATTCCAGTTGAGCTATTTCAAATCCTAAAAGATGCTGCTGTGAAAATGCTGCACTCAATATGCCAGCAAGTTTGGAAAACTCAGCAGTGGCCTCAGGACTGGAAAAGGTCAGGTTTCATTCCAATCCCAAAGAAAGGCAATGCCAAAGAATGTTCCCACTACCACACAATTGCATTCATCTCACATGCTAGCAAGGCTCTGCTCAAAATTCTCCAAGCCAGGCTTCAACAGTACATGAACTATGAACTTCCAGATGTTCAAGCTGGATTTAGAAAAGGCAGAGGAACCAGAGGTCAAATGACCAACATCCGCTGGATCATCGAAAAAGCAAGAGAGTTCCAGAAAAACATCTACTTCTGCTTTACTGACTACGCCAAAGTCTCTGACTGTGTGGATCACAACAAACTGTGGAAAATTCTTCAAGAGACGGGAATACCAGACCACCTGACTTGCCTCCTGAGAAATCTGTATGCAGGTCAAGAAGCAAGTTAGAACTGGACATGGAACAACAGACTGATTCCAAATTGGGAAAGGTGTACATCAAGGCTAATTAACCTTATACACCCTGCTTAATTAACTTATATGCAGAGTGCATCATCAGAAACACTGGGCTGGATGAAGCACAAGCTAGAATCAAGATTGCCAGGAGAACTATCAATAACCTCAGATATGCAGATGACACCACCCTTATGGCAGAAAGCGAAGAAGAACTAAAGAGCCTCTTGATGAAAGTGAAAGAGGAGGGTGAAGAAGTTGGCTTAAAACTCAACATTCAGAAAACTAAGATCATGGCATCCGGTCCCATCACCCCATGGCAAATAGATGGGGAAACAATGGAAACAGTGAAAGACTTTATTTTTCTGGGCTCCAAAATCACTGCACATGGTGACTGCAGCCATGAAATTAAAAGATACTTGCTCCTTGGAAGAAAAGTTATGACCAACCTAGACAGCATAATAAAAAGCAGAGATGTTACCTTGCCAACAAAGGTCCATGGCATATTAAAAAGCAGAGATGTTACCTTGCCAACAAAGGTCCATGGCATATTAAAAAGCAGAGATGTTACCTTGCCAACAAAGGTCCATCTGGTCAAAGCTATGGTTTTTCCAGTAGTCATGTATGGATGTGAGAGTTGGACTATAAAGAAAGCTGAGCACCAAAGAATTGATGCTTTTGAACTGTGGTGTTGGAGAAGACTCTTGAGAGTCCCTTGGACTGCAGGGAGATCCAACCAGTCCATCCTAAGGAAATCAGTCCTGAATATGCATTGCATGGGCTGATGCTGAAGCTGATACTCCAATACTCTGGCCACCTGATGTGAAGCACTGACTCATTGGTAAAGACCCTGATGCTGGGAAAGATTGAAGGCAGGAGGAAAAGGGAACAACAGAGGATAAGATGGTTGGATGGCATCACTAACTCAATGGACATGAGTTTGAGTAAGCTCTGGGAGTTGGTGATAGACAGAGAAGACTGGCCTGCTGCAGTCCATGGGGTAGCAAAGAGTCGGACGTGACTGAGTGACTGAACTGAACATTCTTTTCCCTATCCAGTCAGTTTCCCCGCCATCTCATCTACTCACCCAACCCCCCCTCCCCACTAGACATAGTAAGAACAAATCTGGGGGATGCGGTGTGTACAGCTCTTCTCTAAGGGAGGTGTGTGAGTGTGTGAATGACTTAAAAGATACTGAAGTGAGAAGTTCACAGCGACACCAGAAACTGCGCTTCCCTGGAGGCTCAGCAGTCAAGAGCCCACCTGCCAGTGCAGGAGACTTGGGTTCAGTCCCTGGATCGGGAAGGTCCCCTGGAGAAGGGCATGGCTACAACTCCAGTATTCTTGCCTGGAGAATTCCACAGAGGAGCCTGGTGGGCTACAGGCCATGGCATCACAAAGAGCCAGACACAACTTATCGACTAAACAACCACCACCACCAGAAACTATAAATCTAAATATGGGTCATGCTTCAAAATCCACAGTAGTCTTTTTGAGGCCAAGCACGTCTGGCTTTGCTCAAATACAGCAGGGTTTCTTCCCCTTTGGAGCCAGGCTAACAGTAATAATAGTTTACATGGATTACCCAGTTAATCCTCAAAAATAGTCATTGTGCCCACTCAGTAGATAAGGAAGCTAAGGCTCAGGATGGCTGAGTGATTTGCTCAAGTCCTCTGGGTGAGGAGGAGTCTGTTTGTTTTAGTCACCAAGTCATGTCCAACTCTTTTGGGATCCCGTGGACTGTAGCCCACCAGGCTCCTCTGTCCATGGGATCTCCCAGGCAAGAATACTGGAGGAAGTAGCTGTTCCCTTCTCCAGGGGATCTTCCCAAACTAGGGATTGAACTTAAGTCTCCTGCATTGACAAGAGGGTTCTTAACCACTGAGCCACCAGGGAAGTTCACATGAGGAAGAGTTGAGCCAGGATTTAAACCTAGAACAGAAATCTGCTTTCAGGTGGACAGAAGGTCAGGGAATGGAAGGATGCCTCATGCGGAAATAACCTTTGATGAAAGTAAAGAGTCTTTGTCTCAGTTAAGGCCCAAAAAGTTGTCTGAGGGGTCAGATGGGCCAATCAGAAGAAAGCAGCGTGTTATGTATGCACACTCATGGTGGGAGTGTAGAATTGTATAGACTTTGGAAAACAGTATGGAGAAAAAGCTAAAATAATAATAATAATAATAATAATATGTATAAATCTATAAGAAAGTGAAGTTGCTCAGTTGTGCCCAACTCTTTGTGATATTGTGGACTGTGGCCCGCCAGGCTCCTCCGTCCATGGGATTCTCCAGGCAAGGATACTGGAGTGGACTGCCATTCCTTCTCCAGGGTATCTTCCCAACCCAGGAATCAAAGCCAGGTCTCCTGCATTGCAGGCAGACACTTTACTCTCTGAGCCACCAGGGGAAGCCCTGTATAAATTGATACTTAAATTAAAAAAAAACCAACTATATCATCTAGCAATCCCAATTCTGTGTAAATATACAAAAGAATTTGAAACCAGGATCTCAAAGAGATATTTGTTCACTGCAGCATTGTTCTTAGTAGCCAAGAGGTACAAGTGGCCCAAATGTCCATCAGAGGATGAACAAATAAAGAAAATATGGTTATGTACTTACAACGGAATATTATTTAGTCTTTAAAAAGGAAATCCTGTCGTCTGCTACAACGTCCATGAACCTCAAGAACACTCCACTGAGTGAAATAAGCCAGTCACGGAAGAACAAATACCATATGATCCTACTTATAGGAGAAATCAAGAGCTATCAAAACCATGGACCTGGTGGTTGTCAGGGGCTTAGGAAAGAGAGACACGGAGTTTTTGTTCAGTAGGTATAGGGCTTTATTAGAGATCTAGAGATCTGTTACACAACTATGTAGATGCGGTTGACACTGCTGAACGGTACACTTGGAGGTGGGTAGGGGTAAACTGTATATTAGTTTTTAACCATAATTTAAAATTTTTTAATTATTTTAAATTAAGTGCCTGGTGAAATATTTGAAGAGGATGGCTATACTTGGCCCTCTCTCTGCTCTCCCGTCCTGGGAATCACAGTGACAACAGCAAACATCTAATGCACTGGTAACTGTTGTGTCCCACGCAGTGTGTGAGGAAGGCTGCATACCAGTGGGAGCCCCAAGGCTAAAGAACAAAGTCACGGGAAGCAGGGGTCCCTGGTCGGGCAGCCTTGGGGGCCAGGGAGAGTTGTTTGGTGCCAGCCTCGAGGAATGTTGGGATTAAATCAGATACTAATAGATGTTATCCAACTGAATTAGGTGGATAGAGGGAGGTCACAGCACACTGATCACCGTGTCACAGCCTCATCTGGCCCTCCTGGCAGCCCCGAGGCCTTGGAGAGGCTGCCCAGGTCAGAGCTGTCTATAAGCCTCACCCTCCAGCACCCTGTCCTGAGCAAATGAACTTCCAGGAGTGTGTGTTCATTCCCAGTTGTCTCTAAGCCAGCCCCCAGCAATGATGAAAGCTTTCCCTAATTCTAACGTGAGATTTAAGTCGTTTTTAAAATAGAACTTATCAAAACTCTTGGAAAGCATAAAGTTTCCCCCCACCAAATCCCACCAACGTAGGGTTACAACGTGATCAAAGGAAAACCTTGCTGGATGTCAGGGAGTAGAAACAGCACTCTTAGCAGAGGGATCGGTGTATAGAACGTTTCCAGAAAAGATCTCCCATAAGAGAAGAACCTGCCACAACCCTGAGGCCACTTGCCTTCCTCAAAGACCTCCCTCCTGCCTGACCAGAGTGCAAGTTCCCCACCCAGGCCTCACCTTGTGAGTCATCAGCAACTTAAAGACATTGGAGAGAAGGCTGGAAACTTGAAGCTGGAAAACAGAACAAAGAGCCTGAGAGTCACAGGGAACCACTTCTCTCCCTTACGTGCCCCTCACCCACATCCACATCCACAACTGCCCCGCTCCACACCCACACCCACACACACTCCAGTGATCAGAAATGGACTGCCTGACAAATCCCCAAAAGGACTACATTCACACAAGCCCAACTTCCATCTCATGACTGAGTTCAAAGGCCCCTCCCCCCCAGGAGAACCAGCCTGGAGGCCTCTACCCCAGCATGCCCGGCACACACAGAAATCACATTGGAATAAATAAGACAGGCAGTGCCAAGGGCCAGCTGCCGCTCCTCATTGCCACCTCTTGTTCTGACTCGATCCGGCCAGAGTGGACTTGGGAATGAACTTGGGAAGAAAAGTCAGCTTTGTTAGAACTGTGTGCAGAATTCAAAGTGGGCTCCGCTTTAGGTAAGGGCTTCCCTGGTGGCTCAGATGGTAAAGAATCTGCCTGCAATGCGGGAGTTTGATCCCTGGGTCCGGGAAGTTCTCCTGGAGAAGGGAACGGCAACCTACTCCAGTATTCTTGCCTGGAGAATCCCCTGGACAGAGGAGCCTGGCGGGCTACAGTCCATGGGGGTTGCAAAAAGTCGGACACGGGTGAGCAACTAAAACTTTCACTTTTCTGCTTCAGGTCTAAAGGACGTGAACACTAGGTGAGCCTCCGTGCTCCCTCCCCCACCCCATGCTCAGCTGAGCTCCGTGTAGATGAAGCTGCAGGACAGCTACACCTGGATCTGCACAGATGTGCAGTATCACATACATCACCCCCTCCCCGCGGCAACCACCCAGGAGAGCCCAGTCAAGGAGCCACTCTTGAGAGCTGGAGATTTCAGTGGGCCTCCTTGCCCCTGGAGGATGTGAGCAGAGGAAAAGGCCCTCCAGTGGCCTGCTCACCTTTTCCAGGGTGATGGTGTTCTTCCTGGCCTGGGTCACCAGCCGGGCCATCTCAGCCTTAAATCCCTCCACGTCCTCGCACTCGCTGGCCCGGGCGTGATGCAGGATGAGCTCAGCCACCCTTTGGCCCTGGTAGATGGAAAAGGAAGAAACATGCTAGAATCAAGAGGACCTAACCCTGGATTCTCTGCCCAAATGTCTTCATATCTAGTTCTTTCCACCCCAGTTTCTCTACCCTCCTGCTTTTGCACCCCCCTTCATCCACTTTTTTTACCTCGCTGCCTTCCAATAATAGCTGGTCGTCAATCAAAGCCTTTTGATGCTTCTCTCCTTGGCGAGGCCCCACCCGTGCTCAGCACAATCAGAGGCAGCTGTGTGGTCTCCTTTGTCTCCGAGGCCACACAGGCCCAGTGGCCGAGCCAGGGCCACTGCTCACGCTCCTCAAGGCACTGCCTGCCAACCAACCGGCCTGGCCCAAAGGCCTGCCTCCGGGACAGACTAGTCATACTCTCCTTGAGCCCGAGCAGAATTCCCCACTCACAGCCTGCTGGCTCTTCCTCCGCCCAGGATGCTCCAAGGTCTTCCCTTGGTCATGGCCCAGGAGCCAAGCTTTTCCTCCTTGACTGTGACCTTCTTCCTCTGCCCAAACCTGTGCAGAGGAGCATCTCCCAGCCCCCACCCGCCACTGCACCTCGATGTTTAACCTTGGCCCGGGGGACACTTTCAAACTGGCTCAGACTCAAGCCTCTGGTCTATCCACCACCACCCCCACTCCACCCCAGAAGCCTCCTAAGCAGGGGCTTCTCTCAATTTTGCCCTTTTTTCCCAGGTTTTTTTTTCCCCCAAAATTTATTTATTTAGCTGCATCAGATCTTATTTATGGCATGTGGGACCTTTAGTTATGGCATGCAAACTTCTAGTCCTGGCACGTGGGATCTACTTCCCTGACCAGGGATCAAACCCAGGCCCTCTGCACTGAGATCGCGGACCACCAGGGAAGTCTGTCCAGCTCGTCTTTCCCGGGGTCTTTCCTGCTGGAGAATTCACTGTCACCCTTGACGTGGCACTTTAGGGTGACTCCCGCAGAGGTTTCGCTGAGTCCCTTTTCCTAAGCAGTAATTCTCAACCACAGGAGCCCCTCCGAGGCGTGGGATGAGAGTTGAAAACCAGTCATCTCCCCGTCCCAGGTGACTTCCCACACAGGGAGAGTAAGTTCCCTGAGCTGCTGCTTCTTTCCAGCCCCACCTTCTCAGAGCAGATGGCATGCACTTGGGGCCGCTATTATTGTCAAGAAGCTAGCATTTCCAAAGCCCAACTGTATAGTGACTGAGGACGGAAGAGAAACCACCAGAACATCACTTGAGAAGGAGGCACTGCTTCCCATCATCCTAAACCATGAGCTGCCAGGAACAAGCCTGTTTTGTCTACGGACCCTCGGTGGCTTCATCTCCTGGGCTTCTCTTCCTCCTCCCTCCTTCCTCTCTCGGGAGCACCCTTGGCAAATGCCGGCATTAACAAGAATGACAAACCCTGCAGAACCCCGTGGTTAAAAAAAAAAAAACTCGGCCCCAACCCCCCGAGGGCCCGGTGGGCCTCACCTGGCCCATGGCCACGGCCATGAAGACAGCCCGGAAGTTCCTCAGGTCAGCGGCCTGCAGCTCAGCCACGATGCCAGCGTCCAGCAGCACCAGGCGCAGCGGGCAGCGGGCCGGTGACACGGCCACCGCCAGCGCCTCGCAGACGTCCACCTGCTGCAGACGCGCCTCTGGGCCCTGGGCAAGACCGTCGGCGCCCTGGACGAGGATGTTCCCGGGGTGAAGGTCCGCGTGGACGAAGTTGTCCACAAATATCTGCGGAGAGACCACAGCTACTCCAGGCTGAGTCAACCTCACTATCCCACCTCCACCAGGCCACGTGCGGAAAAGCTTCCAGGGTGACGGCGAGTTCCCAGAGATCCAGGACAAGGCAGGGAGGCGGGCGCGCTCCCCGCCATAAGCTCACCATCTTCAGGAGCATGTTGATCCCCAGCCGAGCAATCTTCCTCTTCACATCCAGGGGAATCCCTGCGTGCTGGTAACTGGACACGGGCACACTCTCCTGTGAGGAAGACGGGGTGAGAACTGCTTCAGCGGCACAGCCTCGACTGCCCAGCTCCTCATCCTCCCAGGGACACACAGGTACTGCCTTCCCTCTGACTGGGAAGTGACCCAAAGAGTTTTTCCTTTCCTAGAACGCCTGTGAATCCGTCACCCACAAGTGAGTTGTAACCGACATTTACACTTCCCTTCTGTAATACATCTCAACAAGTCCATAGGTTCCCCAGGGAGGAAACCCACTGACTGCCGCCCACAGGTAAGAGAGGCAGTGAGGTCAGGATGAGCTTGTTTCTAGTCAAGAATCAGCCAACAGGGACACAAAGGAGCTCTGCGACCTCACTGGAGGAGAAAGAAAAGGAAGAGAGAAGCAAGGGGAGCTGCTCCATAGGCACTTGAGACAGGTTGGTTATTTAATTGTCAAACCAGCCTGTTGAGATAGATCTTGTAATCCTTAATTAACAAATTAAAGAACTAAAGCCCAGAGAGTTTAAGTAACTTGCTCAAAGTCACACAGCTAGTAACAGTGGGTCATTCAGGCCACTCCTCTGGGTCGTGTTACCATCTTTGCAAAGGAAGCTGGATCAGAAGACAGCTGAGGCCATGAGGCGCTTCCTCTGTGCATACTCTGTGTGCAGGGCACTTTGCATTCAATGTGTCATCACCTCCTATGAGGCAGGAGGTAACTGAAGCCACCCAGCAAATATTGGGTTGGCCAAAAAAGTCATTCCGGTTTTTTGTAACAGCGTACGGAAAAACCCGAATCAAATACAATTGGCAGAGCAGACTTCCAGCAAGTCTGAGGGCAGGGCCAGGCTCTTCCCGCCTTGCTACCCTACTGCCCACCCTCAGGCGGATTCAAACCCCTCTCAGACTCAAGCCTTCCTGTGGAGCAGAGATAAAAGGCCAATGGCTAGGGGAAGCTCTCATTCTTACTTCGTATGTCTCCACCAGAACATCCTTGGTGACGAAGGGACGCAGAGGCGTGGGGAACTTGACAGAGTTCACATTTAGGAAGTTGCACTGGAAGAGTTCGAGATTCCGAGCCTCGTACCGCAGGTCGATCTACAGGCAAGTGGAGAGAAGAGGTGAGGGAGGGGCTAGTCTGGGCCAGGGACAGCAACACTGAAGCCCCCAAGAGCTGGCAGAGCCCGAGACTCACCTGCCTGCACCAGCTAACCTCCTGCAGAACTCCCAGGACACCTGAGGGTGAAGGCCGCCCCGGAAGTCCCGATCCCCCACCCTCCCCACCACGTGACTCCAAGCTACAGACAACAGACACACTGGAGAACTTAACAGACTTCACATTCACCCCGCCCCAAGGGTCCCTGCAGAGGATTCCTTCTCTCACCCTTCACACCATGGGACACCCGCTGCCATCAGCTCTGTAGCCCTCACCACGCTCAGAGCTGGTTTTTTCCATCCCGCTGTTCCTCCCAAGGTGACTCGAAACCAGTCACCTGAACCCCAGCAGAGGTGTCTTAGTTGGGCTCCCTGTCCCCCAGCTCCCCTCTCTGCAATCCATCTGCTGGTGCCCCCCACCACCTCCTGCAGGATAGAGTCTGCATTGGTTAGGAAGACGTCCAAGGTGGGTCATGGTCTGGGCACAGCTTCTTCCTCCAGGTCCATCTCTTGTGATACAGCCTCCTCCTTTTACAGCCCCAAACTCCAGCTGCACCCAATCTGTAGAGCGGGAGTATCCCAGCCCACCTAACACTTCCCCTCTGAGTGCCTTCTGTACTCCACCTGACTGGAATGTTCTTCCCGCATTGGGTCTAACTGCAGACACTCTCCTTTCGAGATTCCACTCAAGCCTCGGGAGCCTGGACCCGCAGGGTGGAATGACCACTTCCTCTGTTGGGCCTCAGCTAAGCCCAGCTGAACCCGTAAGAACTCCTATTGGAACTAGCACTTGTGCTGCAAATATTTCACGTCAGCCCTCCTCCTAGTACATACTTCTTGGGACCAATCAGGAGGGCACATTTGCCCAGCCAGGACTGGGTCCCACCATCAAAGGAGATTCAGGGAACCCAACTTGTTTTCTTTCACCAGATCCTAACAGAGTTTTTAATACTTGTTGTGTGAATTTATAAATGAACATACATCCCTCTACATACACCCAGACTCTAAGCTTTCAAGCCAGGCAGCATTATGGACCATTGAGAGCTACAGCTGGCAGGAAGAGTTGATTTTTGAGGCAAAATGGGGTGAGTTATAGAGCTATAGAGGTCTGAACTTGAAGTGGTGGCATCTCACAGTGCTTATCAGACTTCTTGAAGCAGAACTGAAGTTCAGGTGGGTGGTGGAACTGAGAGTATTAACACCAAGATGGGTGTTGGAACAGCAGCTATTTTTCTGTTTTAATTTTCTTTTATTATCAAAAGTAGACACCTCCATATCATAAAGCAAAGCTTTCTAAACGTGAAAATGCATCTCTGGGGCTTAAAACCCTAAGTCAGATGACATAAATGAAGATTGGGCACACGGCCTCTGAAAGCCTGTCAATTTCTGTGCCACCCACCAGGAAGCCAGCACAGATGGCTCCTTGGAGCCCTCAGTGACTCCAGAGTGTCTACTGAGTCTGGCTACTTAAACAGGTGTCCCAAAGGCCCTGGACAGGGCCCCTGTCTACTCATTAAACCCCAGAAACAAAGGAAAACAAAGGCAGAGTGTGTGACTTCGCTGATTCTTCTCCTCCTCCTGTAGTGTGGCCATTGATTGCAGCACAGATAATGCTCTATTCGACCAGACTCATTTCATTTGCAGCCCAGGCTCTATGCAAGACTGCCTTCCCCAAGTTCCCTCGAAGTTACACTGGGCCTGACATGTAGCCTGGGAAGAAGTGAGGTTCATCATTTCCAGGCCTGGCCACAGAATTCTTTACATGACCCTTCATGGTCTCTCTCCCCATTCCATACTGACCTCAGATGACTAATTTTGGAGGAAACTGGGTCCCTGAATAACTATGGAGTGGAGCTCCCACCTGCTCCCTCAGTTTACCTGCATGGAACTTCCATAGAATAGCAAGAAATAACCTTGCTGCCTTAACTCACTGAGGTTTGGATATTCTGTGTTATATCAACTAGCACCACCTATCCTGACTAACATTCTACATTAGCCATGGCACCCTGAGAAAAATGCTCATCCATTCAGCATTTATGAAGCAGCTAACAGCAAAAACTGTTGTGTGCTATTTACGACTGAGAGAAGGCAAATTCACCTGTTGCACCATGAGCTTCTCAAATTCCTCCACGATCTCAGGCAAGCTGAGCCACTTGATTCCTGGCAAAAGTGCAAGGACCCGGCTGCCCATCTTCATCAGCAGCAGGTCCATCTGCACCTGAGCAAGCAGGCCAGGGTGCAACACCTGCCAAAAGAGGAACAGTGAGACAGAGGAGGGATCAATCAGGCGGGCACATTTGCCTAGCCAGGGCTGGGTCCCAACATCAAGAGAGATCTAGGGGACTTCCCTGGCAATTCAGCAGTTAGGACTCCATGCTTCCAATGCAGGGAGTGCAGGTTCTATCTCTGGTTGAGAAATGAAGATCACACATGCCTTGTGGTGCAGCCAACGTCCCCCCGACCATCCCCCACAGAAAGAGGACAATCAGCTGGCTGAGGGGAAGCAGTTCCAACACCCATTCCTTTGTGCCTTCCTGAGGGGACAGAAGGGCAGCTCCCCTGAGCGGCACTCAGCTTTGCTGGGAAGAATAGGTTGGCTTCCCTTCCAAATACACTGAGTTTAGATCGGCAGCTCCCAAACATCAGCAAGCATAAAAAGCCAATATGGGCTGCTTGGTAAAGTGTGGACCCCCAGCCTCCTCCAAGACCTACTGAATCAGACTGGCTGGGAGGCAGGGTGGAAATCTGCATTTTACTGAGTGTCCAGGTAACTGAGTCAGGTAGTCCTAAGCCTGCAAAATACTGCTCTAGTCACAGGACTCCAGAGGTGAGATGGAAAGAGCTCTGGGTTTCAAAAACTCCAGTTCTGCAACTCATCCCCTGTATGAAACTGGACTGGCCACTCAACCTCTTCTCAGCTTCCCATTCCATCATTTAAAACATGCAGATAACAGCCTCTACCTCCACCACAAATCCTTTTCAGAATAAAGTGGAATGTAAATAAACATGTAAGAAAAACTAGTACAGGGACTTCTTGGAGGTCCAGTGGCTAAGACTCTGGGCTCCCAATGCAGGGGGCCCAGGTTCAACCCTTGGTGGAAGAAGGAGATCCCACGTGCCACAGCTAAGAACCAGCACAGCCAAATAAATAAGCAAAAAAAATTTTTTAAACCTGTTTAAAAAAAAAAAGCCTACCTCAGGGACCTCATACAGATTAAATAAAGGGGACACATTTCCTGGTATACAGCAGGCATCTACTCCTTTAGTCTCCCACAGAGCAAAGGGAAACTTCAAGATACTTTGGACAGGTGTTTCCTCAACATGCCTGATGTTGCGACTCATTTGCAGCATTTGTAAAAAAGCCAGGTCGGACTCTCCCCTTGGAAATTAGGATTCAGCCTTGGAAATTAGGTGCCTCAGTGAGGCACCCTTGGGAGGGATTTTTCTGTGAGGGTGAGAGCACCAGGGTATTGGCTACTAGCATCCGCTAGTTCTCCTGGGGGTGTTCGGATCAGGGATGGAAAGGTGTGGAGAGGAGAGATGATGGAGCTGGGCAGGGGTGACTGGAAATGAAGAGAAGAAAGCTGATGTTGTTAAAATGAATGCTGCCCTCTTGGACTCGCCATAGCACACCTAACCTAGTCTGTCTCCCATTTATCCCGACCCCAGAGCCAAGAGGTGAGCTGGATGGATGATGGGTCCTCCCCCCGCAGAGACAGCCAACTCCAGAGCCTCTTCATCTTCCTTTTTCAGGGCATTCGCATCACTCTCCTTCAAGCCAAGAAATCAAACAGCTTGCGTGTCACAGGTACTCAGAAAATGGTCAAGCTGAAAGAAATCAACGGAAGGCAAAGTGGGGTAATTTGCAAAGGGGTGTATCCTGACCTGGGTAGCTCCGTGGAGTTGGTGAGGAGGTTTTAGAGACAGGAGGGCCTGGCTGCAAACATCAGAACACTTACTTTCACGGCCACGGGGACGAGGTGATCTGGCTCCTGTTCACCGGTGGGCCCTGAAGCCTGAGACAAGGATGCATTGGATCCAACCAGGTCCACTTTAGGGAAGAGCAGCCTTTCTACAAATGACTGGTCGGCAAGACTCTCTTGAGGCCTGCCCGCCTTCCCCAGGCGTGCAGGGAGCTCGTCCAGCGCCCCACCTGCCCCAGTTTCCAAGGAGAGCTGCAGTCTAGAGGCCGTGGCCAGTCTCTGGATGCTGTCCTTCTCCAGGAAGGCAGGATTGGCACGCGCTTTGTACACTTGGGCCACGCAGCCAGAACCCACCGGCTCCTGCTTCTCAAAGCAGAGGACCCTCCCCCAGTCCTCCCCAAAGGCCTGGCGCAGGAAGTGTTCGGTGTGAGTCCAAGGATGGGGCGACACCTGGACGTGCAGCCTGGAGAACTGGGCGCAGAACGCCTCTGAGAAGAGATCCCGCCGGGTGCTGGCCCACTGGCCCAGTTTGATGTAGGTGGGGCCCGAGGTCTCGGTGGCTTTCAGAAGCAGGTGGAGCCAGAGACTGGAGACACTGGGAGCCAGGTAGGTGAGGGGATAGAGTAGGAGGAGGGGGAAGAATTTCACCAAGAGAGCCCCTGCTCTGAGCCAGATGCGCACGTGCAGGAGGAGCCAGCCCAGCCGCCCCTCCGGAGGGACTCTCTCCAGCGGCCCATTTTCAGCCAGGTCACTCCAACTGGTCTTCTGCCGACGTGCGCTCTCCGGAGACCCCTCGCCAGTGTCCTCATAGGTGGAGACGAGTTTGGGCAAAGTGCCAAGCAGAAGCCAACAGAGTCTAGCCTTGCGACAGCCCTCCGAGGGTCTCAGAAGGCCGAGTTCCTTTCTGAGCGCAAAACCTCTCAAGTGCGCCAAGCAGACCCTGAGAGAGAAGCGCCAGGGGGTCACCATCCTCTCCCAGAGGTCACGGCCTCGGCTGCCTGCCTCCACTTAAGGAGGGCCCATCTATGTTCCTTCTTTTCGCAAGGCGGACATGAGTCCGGGCCTCCGCTGAGTATTCCGCTAAAGAGCGGGGCAGCAGCGAGATGAAGGCGGCGCGCAGACCTGGCCGGCCGAGTGCAGTTCCCAGGACAGGGACGTGACCTGCGCGAGGTGGCCGCGCGGGCGGAGACCGAGCCCAGCGACCGCAGGGTCACCGCGCACGCCCGCCGGCGCCAGAGTGCACCCGCCGAGGGCCAGGACGCAGCGGGGCTGCGCGGAGGGGCGCGAGGGGGACCGATCGGAGGGCCGCGGTGCGGAGAGCCTGGTGGGGGTGAGGAAGAACCAGATAAGGCGAGGGGTGGAGAGCTGGGGCCGGGGGCGGGGGCAGCGCGAACGGCCGAGGACCAGGGCGCGAGCGCGCGGTGGGGAGGAGTCGGGTGGGGGCTCCAGAGAGCCGAGGTCCCAAGGGCACTGGAGGTCTGGGCGCCAGGGGCGGGGAAGGAGAGCGGAGGGTCGCGGAGCGGAGGACCGGGGATCGGGACTAGGGGGGTCGGGGGTCGGAGGACCGGGAATCGGGACTGGGGGGACCGGGGAGCTGGGATCCAGACGCCCAGGCCGCGCAACGCGCGTCTTCCGGGACCGCCCGCCCGCCGGCTCGGGAACCGCCCCTTTAAAGCGAACGCGACCCAGACTCCGGCTGAGACTCACCGGCCCTCGGGTCCTGGGGCCCCACAAATAGAATTAACCCCAAACGCGCCCTCCACATCCGGTCTCTCCACTGTGCGTCTGTCTCTCCAATGACACGGTAGCTTTCCTTACAAAGAGCGTGGAAACGCGGGAACGCTGGGTAAATTGACAGCCGTTTCCTGAACACAGGTCTGGTTTTCAATTGAGCGGGACCGGGAGGGTGGTGGGAGGAGTGGGGTTGGGGGGGTGTTGTCCTTGGACTCCGGGGCTGTGGCTCCGGAGTGCTCATTCATTCAACCAAGTCTATATTTCTTAAACTCAATCTAATATTTATCGAGGCTCAATAATATCTACCGTGCGAGGTCCTGGGAACATGAAAACACACATCCTGACCTTGCAGGCTCATCACTTTTGAGGAAGATCCCACCGTGAAAGAAGGGAACAATGGGGACGATGCCTAGCTGCGCCCTGCGGGTCTCCAGGACACGGAGGTCTCTTTGTCGCCCGTTTCTTGTAGGCAAGACCCCCGCCTCCATGACCTTCTCTTGAGTCCCAGAGGGCAGAACAGCTGCTAATCAAGGGAGGAGCAGCCAGGAAACCACCTGAGGCAAGACTAAAGCGCCATCCAGAATTAGGAGACCTAACCATCCAAGCCGCTGCACACCCTAACCTTGTCAGCAACCTCACCCTTTTGAAACTTTGCAGAAGAATGTTACCATCTTGATCCTTCTCAGGTACCCTTGCCAGACTATATAACCCCTCCCTATTTACCAGGGAGGGGGGCACAGTTCTTGAGGTGCTAGCCTACTGTGTTCCCCCTTTGACTGGCAAAGTAATAAAGCCACTCTTTCCTTCTCCTACATAACTGTCTCCATGTTTCTGTTTGGCACTGGTGCACAGAGCCAAAATTTGAGCAACGAGACCCCCAGGATGGCAGCTACTTGGGAGAAGAGGGGAGGGTGGTACGGGTGGGAGGGTGTTCAGCCACAGAAAGAATTAAGCCCCCAAATAGGAAGGTGTTTGGTGTGAGGTTCTGGGGGAGTTTGTTTAACTGTCAAGAACCAGAAGAAGGCCAGATAGCTCTACCAAGCAAAGAGGAGCGGAGCAGAGCTTGGAAATCAGCCAGGGAAGGCCAGTGGTCTTTTGCTCTGCTATTTGGGACTTGGAGGCTGCCTGCGCTGGGGTACCACAGTCACCTCTACATTCATGACCCTTTATCTCCACGTGGGTGACAGCTTTCCAGAGAAGTCTGCCAGGGACTCACAAGTGGAAAGACCCTGGAGATGTGGCCCATGCCTGCTGCTGGAAGTGTGACTGCCACTAACAGCCTAAGGAGTGCAGGAAAACTTGGGGACTCCTGCGCTGCCAGCTAATAATCCAACTCCCATTTCCCAAGATGTACAGACCCTTTTGAAGTTCCCAAGACAGAAGTCACACCTAACTCTGCTGGTTTCAAGTATGGCCAGCCACTAACTATACCCTCCAAGCTTCAGAGTACAAAATGAAACAAGACAAAGGCTAACAGAGTTTTGCCAAAAGAACCCACTGGTCATAGAAAACACCTTCCAACAATACAAGAGATGACACTACACGTGGACGTCACCAGGTGGTCAATACCGAAATCAGATTAATTATATTCTTTGCAGCCGAAGATGGAGAAGCTCTATACAGTCAGCAGAAACAAGACCAGGAGTTGACTGTGGCTGAGATCGTGAACTCCTTATTGCAAAATTCAGACTTAAACTGAAGGAAGTAGGGAAAACCACTAGACCATCCAGTTATGATCTAAAATAAAATCCCTTAGGATTATACACTTTGAAGTGACAAATAAATTCAAGGGATTAGATCTGATAGACAGTGCCTGAGAAACTATGGATGGAGGTTCATAACATTGTACATGAGGTGGTGCTCAAAACCATCCCCAAGAAAAAGAAATGCAGAAAGGCAAAATGATTGTCTGAGGAGGAGGAGGTCTTACAAATAGCTGAGAAAAGAAGAGAAGAGAAAGGCAAAGGGGAAAACGAAAGATATATCCATCTGAATGCAGAGTTCCAAAGAAGAGCAAGGAGAGGTAAGAAAGCCTTTTTAAGTGAACAATGCAAAGAAATAGAGGAAAACAATAGAATGGGAAAGACTAGAGATCTCTTCAAGAAAATTAGAGGTACCACAGGAACATTTCATGCAAAGATGGGCACAATAAAGGACAGAAACAGTATGGGCCTAACAGAAGCAGAAGATATTAAGAAGGGGAGGCAAGAATACACAAAAGAACTATACAAAAGATTTTAATGACCCAGATAACCATGATGGTGTGATCACTCACCTAGAGCCAAACATCCTGGAGTGTGAAGTCAAATGGGCCTTAGGAAGCATCACTACGAATAAAGTTAATGGAGGTGATGGAATCCTAGCTGAGCTATTGCAAATCCCCAAAGATGATGCTGTTAAAGTGCTGTACTCAATATCCAGCAAATTTGGAAAACTCAGCAGTGGCCACAGGACTGGAAAAGATCAGGTTTCATTCCAATCCCAAAGAAAGGCAATGCCAAAGGATGTTCAAAACACCCCACAATTACACTCATTTCACATGCTAGCAAGGTCATGCTCAAAATCCTCCAAGCTAGGTAGGCTTCAACAGTATGTGAATTGAGAACTTCCAGATGTTCAAGCTGGATTTAGAAAAGGCAGAGGAACCAGAGATCAAATGTGAGAGTTGGACCATATGAAGGCTGCTCACCAAAGAATTGATGCTTTTGAGCTGGAGAAGACTCTTGAGAGCCCCTTGGACTTTAAGGAGATCTAACCAGTCTATCCTAAAGGAAATCAGTCCTGAATATTTATTGGAAGGACTGATGCTGAAGCTGAAACTCCAGTACTTTGGCCACCTGATGCAAAGAACTGACTCATTGGAAAAGACCCTGATCCTGGGCAAGATTGAAGGCAGGAGGAGAAGGGGACGACAGAGGATGAGATGGTTAGGTGGCATCACCAACTTGATGGACATGAGTTTGAGTAAGCTCCAGGAGTTGGTGATGGGCAGGGAAGCCTGGCGTGCTGCAGTCCATGGGGTCACAGAGTTGGACACAACTGAGCAACTGAACAACCAGCTTCCTCTGGTTTATGGATCCACTCTTGTCCCAAAGGAGTAGAGTATTCTTATGTGCCTTTAATTCACCAAAGGGCTTATTGAGGACTTAATTTGAAACCACAGGCCCTAGGTTCTAGTCCCCTAATTAAGAGGTAACCACATAAGTGGGGGCCTCTAGGCAGGAGGGAAGATGGCAGAACAGGTGACCCAGTCAGTGCTGTTTATGTCTGGGTTACCAAAAAGAGTTCGCAGCTTTTTATTATATAGTATGTATGGATGAAGGTGACCTAAGACCTTTGAATAGAAAAATCAATCAAATTAAAAATAGAGCAAAAACCGAACTGCTTGGGAGCTGAAACTCCAATACTTTGGCCATCTGATGCAAAGAACTGACACATTGGAGGAGACCCTCATGCTGGGAAAGATAGAAGGCGGGAGGAGAAGGGGACAACAGAGGATGAGATGGTTGGATGGCATCACTGACTTGATGGACATGAGTTTGAGTAAACTCCAGGAGCTGGTGACATGGACAGGGAGGCCTGGCGTGCTGCAGTCCATGGGATCGCAAAGAGCTGGACACAACTAAGTGACTGAACTGAATTGACCTGGGAGCTATGATCCCCAAAACAACTCATTGTTGAAGATTCCTGTTATGGCAACTACACTGACCTTGAGCCTGTCTACCAGCAGAGGGCGTGGTGCCACAGAGCCTTCCTGGAGACGCTTCCCTGAGCCGGGTCCAGTCCCGCTCACCCTCACAGGCCCAGGGTCTCAGTCGAGTGTCACAGTGTGACCATGGCCTAGCGAAGGCCACAGCCCTTCACTTGACTCACTGCTTTTTACCTTAAAAAATAACTGTAGATGGAAATTAGTTTGGCGGAAGGATAAAGAAAATAATTTTTGATTCCCCCTCTCCCAAGATAAAAGAGGTAACCACATGACCTCACATGGTCTGTCTGGGCCTCTGTTTGACTTCAGGCAAATTGGGGCGGGGACTCTGACTAAAGCTATACAAATTCTCTAGACTTCCATCCATGTGGCAATTAGTATCTTTTTTGTTTGATTATTTCTTTCTTTCTTGACCTCTCCATGTAGCATATGGGGCCTTAGTTCCCAGACCAGAGATAGAGCCGTGTCCTCTGCACTGGAAGCATGGAGTCTTAACCAGTGGGCCGCCAGGGAACTCCAGCAATTG